ATAAGGGTGAAATGTGTTTCGTTACATTTCTTGAGAAATACTCCCCCCCCCCCCCCCCGCCTTTTCCCCTCCCCCCCCCCAAAAAAAAAAAAAAAATACAACTCAGACCGCAATTGTTTTTGTTTTGTTTTTTCTTTTTTTTTTACTTTTCAGGGCGTTAAGGTCAAGGAGATGCTGGGGCATTGTTACCATGCTGACCAAGGTTCCTTCTGATTCTCCAAACTATTTTTCTATGCGTCCTCTTCTCTCTTCTGAGCTGTGTTGCGTAGTCGGGGAATTAAACCAGATGGCGTGCCAGGAGTGGAGTCGGAGCATCTTCTGCCGCAGGTCTTTAGGTAGGAAATTCTTGAGTTATTGTTGGCTGGCATCTAATGCCGATGCTAACCGTCTATCTTGCCTTAGGGTACACAATACACCCATCCGGCAAAGCTGAGTCACAGTCCGTTGCAGCACGAGCCTGGCGGTGGTTGACTTGAAATAGGGGGATGACTCACGCAGTGAAGTTCAATACATATTCAAAAGCGTCTGCGGCTGCGCCCGTAATATTGCCGGGCTCAAGGGTACGTCATCAGCCAATGTGAACGTGACCCGCTGCTCTGGTGATCCGAAACCCAGGAAGGAGGCCAGACGTGGCCTCGCTGTGCCGACCTAGACTTCGTACACCTGCGACTCGTCTCGAGCCCGCTGTTCCTCGGAGAGCTCGCACCTGTGCCGGCAATATCAGGTCGCAATCCACGAGGTCTCTATCTGGAGTATGCAAGGCGAAACTTGAGGACTGTAATCCATACGTCGGTGACAAAGGGTCGGCAGGAAGGGCCTTCACAACAGGGATGCTACCGCATCGTTTTTTCAACCGTAACAGAAGATAAGACATGTGTTCCAGGAGGCTTCATGTGGTCCACTGTTCTCTAAAATTCCAAATAACACGGCTTGCACGACCTTCAACGAGGTATCCTACAACGAAAGTACGTATTGTCCTTTCATACAGCAGCGTGTTAAAGTTTAATGTTTCAGGGCCATACCTACAGATCAAGAATACCAGTTCATTCTACCGTGACGTCATGTGATCAATGTTGACAGGGGCGTCCTTTTTGGACAGGCGCGAGGTGACGTCTTGATGGGATTTAGGATGACATAGATTTTATTTAGAGTTCGAAGTCTTTTCGCATCCCTCGTCAGACAGACAGGTTGTAAGGGAAGGGACCGCGGTCAGCCCTTGATGGAACGTTTTTATACCCATTGAAGACTTCTCACCGTACGAAACCACTACCTTCAAGGCAAGGTGCCAAGCCTACGGGAAAGTAATTTAGGGATCAAAAACTTCTACTTCCAATTTCAAGCTTTATGTCACTTGGCGTCTGAAACAAATTTGAAAAATGTATTGCAGTATCAGTATTTCTGTATTTGTATTTCTGCCCTCCCTATAGAATGTATTCCTGTATTTGTATTTCCATTGACTTTTTGCCTCTATTTGAAATGTATTTCCGATACGTACCGCCATACACTTTTACAGATATATTTCAGTATCAGTATTTTAGCTACTATTTTAATGTATCCCAGTATTTGTATTTCAAACACATTTTTGAGTATTTCTGCCCAACCCTGGTTTGATTTCTATACTTGCATGCGTGTGTCCTTTAGGAGGTTCAGAAGGAAGCAATTTTGCGCTGCGCCTTTTAATAAACAAGGACTTCTCGGTTTTGATTCAGTCTTGAGGAAGTTGCACAAACGGAATCTAACAATGAACATTAAGGAACCGAATATCTAAAGACCAACGAATTGTGTATTCGAAGGACAGTCCCAAAATATCGGAGTGCCTGACGCTTCTGGTAACAAACTAACCGGCTGAAGCTTGGGAGCCGTGTATCAACTCACGTAGGTTTCATGAACTAAAAAGCGGCGGGTTGCTGTAGCTGAGCCGTCTATTGGAAAGATGCGTGCTTTCAACACGTACCTCGTAAGCGTCAGCAGCTTCATTATATACTGTCAGTTAGCACGTACCCGTAGACACTCTCGTGCCGGAGCTCAGCTCTCCTCCCCCAAGGTCCCTTCAATGTTCGTCACCAGTCGACCGAAGCGCCCCGTTCCTTGGACGCTGCGGCAGCTCTCGGAACTCCCGTTGCGGAGGCCCACCGCAGCATGGAGAATCGTTGGCGCTTCAAATCATCTTGTGACGAAGGTTAGGAAGCGGGACGAAGGGTCCGTGCCTCGCTGCACGCTTGCCGACTTAGTAAATCTAGCAACGCCGAACCTTGGCAAAACATGGCATCATGTTTACCGCTGTCCATTTAAAGCCGCCTACGATGATACTCTCTTGACAGTTTCAAGCAGAAAAATACAATTATTTTGTTGAAACGATGTCACCCTCGGTGAGTTAAACTTACCGACGTCGCTGTTTCATTTGGACAAGCTTCAGCACCCTGGTAGACGCACTATATCACAGATTGTGGAACTTTCGCTTATGTTGTCTACTGTTCTACTTTACAGCAGCAGTGATTGATTTGTATTTGGTTTATTTTCAACAGACCATGAGAGTACTAGAAAGAAACTAATAGGAAGAACACAAAAAATATATCTAAAAAAATATATTGAGAGCTTAAGAAATCCAGGGCGTGGCAAGTCCCAAGCATATCCATCTCATCATCGCTCGGCAACTAATAAGTTTGCGACATTTGCCGACAAGAACCTCGAGAAACCAATCTCGAGGCAAGAAGGGTGATTTGTATAGTGAGCCACGCCCCACGTCTCTTAAGCTGTCAATAACCACTAGTACCTTCGGTAAACCAAGATACAACCCTTAGGTAAACTCTGTCTGTGTGCGTTTACTATACCTTCGTCCGTCTTCGCACTTTTCTGTGGTTGTTACTGTTGTTGTTGTTTTTTTTTTTTACAAATTAGAATTATTTTACCCAGGTTTCAACGTTACCTTAGAGAAACGTTTGTCACCAATTTTGGTTGTGAGATTTCTGATGTAGTCATTCACGCAAAAATGATGATGCACAATAACCAAAACCAGTCCCTGCTTTCTCCTTGATGCTTGGGTAATTTAGCAATAGGTCTATTCCTAACGCGGGGGACAGGGGGGGGGGGGGGGGGGAGGGGAGGGAGGATGTGGCCAGTGACAAACAAGCCGCGCAGTGACACGCTGCAGTGACTGGCACGGGACAACAAACAAGACCGCGAGCGCAATCTCGATATCTGCAACGATCGCGTGCGTGGCGCGCAAGAGCCTGTAAGGCGGGCACTCGAAGCCTGGCCGGTAAACAGTAAAGGTGCGTTTCTCTTATGTGTTGCCTTGCCTGTCTTTCTGGCGGGTGAGCGGTAGGACAGATCACCACGACGTAATCTGGCACAATTACAAATAAAGAAGCTTTAGTCATTCTACAAGTCAGAGAAAACTGGATAGCACCTATGGAACTCGACTAAACTCCAAAAAGAGTGCCTCTGGTATTTATTGCCATCTTTATTAAATGAACTGGGTAATTTTCAGACATACACTTGCAGGTACACTGACCTTCGCGCACTGTACGAAATTATAAAAAAGCAATTTTTTATGTGCTACTGAGATATGTTAAAATATTTTAGTTTAATTTTTTGCGTTATCTTAAACTTTTTACTTGATTTGCCTAACTGTATGCAAAAGCCACTGTTGTCAATTTCTTTTTTCGTGGTTTTTGTTTTTGTTATGGAAGTACCTTGTATTGACAATTTATTGTTTTCTTTCGTTTTACTTTTGTTACCCGTGCTTTGTACTTGAGGAATGCTGAGAACCAGTCAAGCTGCTCGGACGGCGTTTTGTCTTCAGCTCCCACCATACTTAAATTGTAATTAAACTATTATTCTTATAATGAAGCCTACAAACCAGCAAAGGAGCCCAAATTTGTCACTTATTTGGAAGTTAAGACCCAAAGCCGCCCCACGGAAACCGAACTAACTCTGGCGCTTTCTTGGAGAATTAGAACAAATATGGCCATCTATGGCCAAAAAATGTCAGGTTTTGGTTTACCTTGGCTACTTGTGGATTTTAAGGCCGTAAAATTTCCGCCTAAAACCAAACTTTTGGCCCAAAGGGCTGCGCTACTTAGGCATTCAATAGCGCGCACACTGCAGGCGTCCACTTTTTTCTGAATCACTCAAAACAGCATTGGGGCTCAGTGCACCTCTTGCTCACAATTGAGAATGCCCCTGTGTGCGTCAGATGACAAAGATCCAAGTATACCAAGTGACACTCGTAGCACGTTTACAAGGGTCGTTCAGGGTTGATCGGAAATTTTGCTCCTGCACAGAAAATAAAAAGTCCGACAAGCACCAAACTATGTACCCTTTTTTTTAGATATCACCGGGGCACGCCCAGGCACCACTGCTATCGTTTTAGCAGCTCACCGACTGGTACGGCGTACAAATAACTAGGCTACGTGACTGCACTGGGTCGATCGTGTCTACGCGGTTTATTTGTCACTGACTGTCGTCCTTCACCAAACCCTTGAAACCATTAGAACAGTCTTGTCCGTGACATCGTATTTTCCCTATACTGTACATCCAATCTTTTGAATGTTTTAGCAGGCTTAACTTGATGTTTCGCCAGAGATTTGATTATTCACAGCTGTTTCACAGCTGCAAACGTATTATTGGTCGTCGCCCTAATTGATGGAACTGCTTCTTATTAGTCAAATATGTCATTCTACGTGTAGAATATTCTATAAGAATTGCGCGAACGTCCTCCGTAAGTTTTATCACGCTAAACAAAACAAATCCCCGTCGAACTTGAAGAACTCTTGTAATCTGTAAAAACGTAAATTGATGTTAGCTTGTACGAAGCGTGACGACAAAAGATGCCACATCTATTGTACCACTTGACGCATTTTTATATTAAATGTGACGTTCTCTTTAATTCATCTAAGATATTCATTAAAGAAACGTAGAGAGGCACATTTAATATCGTGTCTTTATTGACAAGAAAATTGTCTTCATGAAAGTCAAAGTAATTTCCGTTATTTGTTTTAGCAGACACGAGTCATGCGACAGCAATGCGGCCAGTAGAATCTAGGATGGTGCACGTACCGGCAGCTTCCGTATCGTGCCACACCGCACCTGAAAGAATTAAATTAAGTAGAAATTTTCTTGAAACCGCTGAGTTAGGATATATTAGAAGTTCACCGGCTTCGTTGCCTACTATACTTTGTTGTGATACCGATGCAGTTCTTTTTAAGATAATGTGTTTTCTTTTGATACACTAGATTTTTTTATATTTTATTGCTACCATAATGAACCATTTTCTCATTATAATAGAGTATGTTAACAAAATTCCTAATTTGATGGAGTAATTAAACACCAGGAACGAGTGAATCAGTAAGATATTAACGCCAGATATATATATATATATATATATATATATATATATATATATATATATATTCTTTGTTAGTTGTATTGAAGAAACTGGTAAATAAGTATCAAAATTAAATTAATGGTGTTGTTATCTTATAAGTTTCCAAACTTGTGCAAGATCTTTTTGTATGATTGATAATTAAATTAAATTATCGAACCGAAGATCAATTGGCAGTATTGACGCTTGTTTCCTAGTTGAGAGACATGGCAACTTTATTTGTTGCTGAAAATAGCTACGAGTGACTTTGCAACATTTAAAATATAATCATTCATATTAGTCGACTGATGTTGGTATATTATATTGCAATGGTTTACGTATTTCGTCTATACCCGAGTAATGTACAGCTATGCATCATTATATTGCTGTTAGATGGGTAAATGAATAATACACAAAAATGCGGAAACGCCTTATTTCTTTCATCTAAACTGTTTCATTAGCACAATTCTACGATGCTTTAAAACATATGTTCACCGATAACAATGTTTTATTTCGTGTTGTTTTCAACATAGCTTAAAAAGTATTTTTTGGCCTATATGGCACCAAAAAATATATTGACGACCTCGACGGTTCCTGTATTCTACAAGAACAATCGTTATACGGCAACGTAACCATTTGTTTTGCGAATTTTTTGTAAACTTTTGGTTTATGTTTAATGCCCATTGGTTCATCTGCTCTCGGCAATTATTCACTCAATATTAGGTTGCAGTTATCTCAACTAATTAAATATATGAAAATTGGGCATCCATTAAAAATGTTACTGAATTAACAAACGAAGTTTTGCATTATGATATTTGTGCATAATGTGTTGCTAAAAAATACAAACCCTTCAACAGTTAGTGTTTTGGCAGTAGCATTGCAAGTCCAAAATTCACATGGATATTGAAAGTTATCAGAGTGTCCATCCTTGAGCGTTATATTTCGGTATGTGCATGTACCTGCAAAATTGATGACAATAGAATATTTAAAAAAAATCAAGAAACTCTCAAGGTGTTTGCGGGTGTTAAAATATTCTGATGTTCAGAAGATTTAATTGGGAAAACACCCGTTCCAGTGGCACCGTAGTTTACGAGAAAAACAAAATACAGTTTAAATTGCAACAAAAAAGGTATCACGTGGCAAATATACTTGGTGCTTGATTTTATTTAGAACACATTTTTTTTTTTATCAAGGGGTGAGATTTACACGAGTTTCGTCTTCACCATCTATGTATCAGGCTCGGTGAACATTAGGAGAGGCGATAACCATCGTGCTAAGTTGACTAATTTACTGAAATTTGTTCATTAACATTCTAAATATTGGTTAAGTATTGACACGAATTACTGCTAGACGCCAGACCAACTTCAATATTTTCCGAAAAGGTCATGCTTTTTCGGTATTAATCTATCAATTTTCGTATATCTTCACTCAATTAAATATATCTTGCGCGACTAAAGGGTGCATCAAGCCCTGTCCACAATGACGCTTGAAATAGTGACGTAGTCGTTTAGGTAACGTGGTCACCTTTGTTGCGGCGCACTCACCTAGGACACATTGCTGAAATACGGTGATGACATGATTGAAACAACATATTCAGTCTTCTAATTCTTTAAGTGGGACGAATAAACACGAAATTTGATCGGTTAATAACTAGCAACACCAATAACTTATCGTAACTTCTTTCAATTGCTCTGACCTCTGATACTGCAAATCAAACATGACCCCTAAAACCAATAATTAAAATGTCTTAGAAAATAAGTCAAATCACCGTTACGATTATCTCCTCATATCCGTGCCTTAGATAAACACTGTGCAGAAAGAATTCGTCTAGCTTTATTTTCCGATATTAAAAATATGTTCGGATAAAAACTAAGCACCCAGGTGTATACGGTCGATGTATACAGAATGTGCACCTCGTTTTTTTTTTCTTGTTGTTGTTTCTTCATTATGTTGATTAGCGGCGTTTCGTCACCTCTTTTTCTTAACCTAGACTGAACCAGAGACGAGGCTGTGAAGTTTCGTGCCCGTGGTTGGATGGCGCTGTTGTCGCTCAGTGGCGTTTGTTGGCGGCGATCATGACCAATGGGAAATTCGAAATTATGATCTTTTCGGCGATGCATTTAGTATCATCTTTTTTTTTACAAACTACGTACATTTAATAGCTTGTATAAAGTTGGTGATCAACACATCATCGATGTCTTAATCCCGGATCAGTTTAAACCTGACCGGTGCCACATGGTGGATTTCCAGCTTGTGATCGGGTGGTGGTCAACACAACCATCCACCGAGCCCTCAAAGAACAATGCAGAATTCCTCGCAGAATCACTGCTTCTGCTGCTTCCTACCACCGCGGGGCCAAGCCATGAGCAACCGAGAAGACGGTTTCGCAAACAATGAAAATTAAAAATACCCATTCGTGGATTCTTATGAAATGTGTTATAGCATGACCCTTGGAAGCGCTACACACGTCCGCCTTTAAGAAACGCTTATGCTGTCCCCTTCACTTTATGGGCTTCTTCCTTTGCGTCCTCTATTTCTAGCTGCTTCTTTCTGGCCTCGTTACGGGGTCATTGTTAGCGTGTTAGTGCAACCAACCTCCGCTTCGCAGTCATCGAGCGACGCAGCAGAGGCTGGTTGCACTATCTCTCCACGGGGCGCGGTGCCGCCGGGGCTGAGATGCGCTCCGATAGCAAACCGAAACTTAAAAACCCGTCGATTTTGTGCGGTTTTTCAGAAAGGCGTAAAATGTTTCGCGTGCCTTCTATCGTTCTGCAATCTGTTGATTTCGTGTTTTTCGATGATGCTGAGCAGTTTTCTAATTTAAACCATGCCCTTAACAACAATATTAAAAAAGTTAATTGTGCAAAAATAATTAACAACTTAATTATCCCGGACTTTAATAATGTTCCTAAATGGGCCCCTGGCCCAGGACCAAAAGGCCACAAGCCCTTTTTCGTTGCGATGAGTAGTTTTCGCAGGAGCGATTTGGCCTGCGTCCTCTGAAACACCCTATATATATATTCAAGTATTCAGCGTTTTTGTCTTCCGAATAATCACAGCTTTTCGGATGTGTAGCCAAAGGTACGAAAACCATTCCTGAAACACAGGTAGTTCGTTATTTTAGAGCGCAGCTCTTAGGCGCCCGTTTCCGGCTTGAGTGGCGTTGCCGTCGGCGTAACCGCGCGGTGCATTAGGCCCGCTTCAGACGGGGCAACTTTTCCAGCAATTTTGAGGTTGCTGGCGGGTTGTTCCCTAGCTTTCCCTAGATCGACGCAAATTGCTGAGATCGGGTCCGGCTCGAAACGGACGAGCAACTCGAACTCGGAGACGTTTGAAGCGGCAGCAGCCAACCAGGTACGCGATATTTTCACGTGACACCCCTGTGGTGATGATGACAGCTAAAGACTTGGTTCTGGTTTGAAATGGATCGTTTCTGGAAATAAATATTTTCAGAAAGATGAGTTAGTATTTTCAAAGCCATTCAAAATGCAAAAACACGTTTTTAGCGCGTAGCTGTGCGTCTAAATAGTGCAAGACAAATAAAATTTAATGATGATGATGACAAGTGTTAGCAATTCGGTTGCTGCGTGTGAACGCGGTGGCTTGTGTTGCTGGTGTTGCGACGTCGAGTTGCCGGGCTAAATTGCTTCGTCTGAAGCGGGCCTTATGGGACGCGTGACGTCACTGATGACGTCATCAGTCACGGTGACGATGCCGACGCCGATGATGTCATCAGTGACGTCATGACGATGACGTCATCGTCATTGTCACGTGACCTCACAGAAGTCACGTGACCCCCATGAGGTTACGTGACCTTCGTGAGGCGACGACGACGCCGCTCGGGGGGAAGAGTAGCACACAGGATGCGAAGGTGAGGAGAAGGGAGGAGGGGTCTACCCTCCCCTCAGTACCCCTCCCTCCTCCTCCTCAAGAGCTGTGCTCTAACTCAGCGTTACGGGGAGTTGTATAGAGCTTTCCTTTTTTACTCATTTACCCATCATCTGTCGCGCTCACTGATGACCCTACCATGGCCGCTTGATCATTGCAACTTCGCGATGACCTTTAGTCACTTCGCCAAAATATGCATATAAATGGCGATCCTGCTGAGTTTCCTGAGCTCGTCGCTAAAGGAGCAGAGTAGCGGACGCGAGCGATGGTTTTGCATTGCTCGGGCATCGCGTTGCTTCCGCTCTTTGGCCGCCAGCCACTGTGACCTATGTTAGCCGCTACCAGGTTGAATATCGTTCACTGCGGCCGCCTAGAGCACTTTCTCCCGGCAAACAGATCCACTCGACAGGCCATTCTCTGCTGTGCGGAACCGGGATCAAGCGGCCGTGGCCCTACTCAAGAGAAAAGCGAATATTCTTTATGTGTTCTAAAAGGAATCTGCTTTTCGTCTCATTAACACCCGCTTGAAGGCACGCGCGAGCGCAACCTCAGTATTCTACAAGACGTACTATTTTGTAGCAAATGAGAACAGGGCAGAAGAATATAAAACCCACAGGACTCCGCCAGCTCTCTTTATAGAGAGGAAGAAAGCAAACTCATGGACATAAAGAAGAAGGGGGATGATCTAGGAAAGCAGAAAGCTGACATACTTGACACTGTTTTCAGCCCTGGTTAGAGCTATATTCGAAATTCATTACAGTTGCCTATGAGTTTTAAAATACTTTGCCTGTGACGAATAGTTTAAATCTGTTGTAATTGTGTATTACTTATAGTTATACATTGAATCGCAATAGTTAGATTTGAAATGGAAGTCAAAATGTGTACTACCGTTTTCAAATGAAACTCCAAAGGGGTGATTTTGGTGAGCAGCCATGCTCATTCTTGACACACCTCCCAAAACGATCACAGCGCACAGCAGAATTGTCTTCATTCCTGCTATAAAAACAGTCCACGTGTTATCACGATCAGTAATGTCTTTCACCAAAAGGCGCTGTTGCAACATTTACTTTATGTGTGATGCAGTTTTTTTGCATAATATGAGAGGTGATGGTCCCTACGGGCATATACATATTTTTATACGGTGGGTCGAAAGGTTAGGAACGAATTATTGGTTATAAACCTAACGACTAAATTTAGGTCATTAATTATCGCAGCCCAGCTTCACCGCACCTTCCCCTGCCTTACACTGGTACAGCCATAATGTGTTCCCTACTATATAGTTTTAGTGGTGCGCGCATTTCGTCAGTCCCGTCGCCGTTCACTCCTTGGCCGAAAAGATTAAGTATTTTGCAAATTCTGTTCGCTGATAATCAAAAACATTGTTCAATTCCATATGGGCGCACTCGTCACAAAAAAATAAGTATCATCTTTATGTTTCCCTAATCCATCATATCTACGGATGTCCAGAGCTGGCAGTAATGCAATTACTGTAATGAAATTACAGTAATTTAATTACTTGTTCCAGTAATTATAATTCATTACTTTTTGTAGCAGGTAATTTAGTAATGTAATGAATTACTCCAGCGACGGTAATTGTAATTAAATTACCTAATTACGTTTTCGCACTAGGCATATTTTTTGTGTCCACAATACACAAGAGCGCTTTTCTTTTTATTTTCTTTTTTCTTTTTCCTCTACACCTTTCCAAAAAACGCTCTTTGGCCGCCGCTATGTTGCTGATGCTAATGCGGCTGGTGCGACTCTCGCGCCCGCTATCAGCTAGACATTTTCTGCCACTCTCTTGAACTGTGAAAACCCGCTCAGCGCGATTCTGTACCTATGTTTTGCGGTTTTGCATTCGACGTTTTCTGGCCCCTCTTGAAAGTTTCCGCTTACTTTTTCTGATGCATACTGCGTACCCTCTCTGTGTTATCCTCCACTGTGAGAAATAGGGCTGGGAGGTGCCTTCCATTCGAGCTTTTCTGCTCGACATTCTCGGGAAACGAAGGAGGGGAAGTAGGTCGAACTAAGGCCCCTGGTGGAACGGCCCTCGACGCGATTTTGCGAACAATGACAATAGTTCTCCCCCCTCCCAGAGATAATCCGCGTAGGGTCCTCAGTCATCTCCAAAAATAGTTGTCCGGGTTGGGGTGGGAAACGGATCAGTCGCGTGCGTTCCTCTGTCCATCGGTAAACATGCAACAGATAGTTCTAGCTGTGTGCCATGAACTGTGTAAACAATGTAAATAAAGTTATCTGTAAAAGGAAGTTATCAATAGCTCCTTTATATTTAAAAGTATACAAAAGTAATGAGAAAGTAATGTCATTACTTTTAAAAGTAATTTGTAATGATAATTAATTACTTTCTTGATGTGGTAATTTGTAATGTAATTTAATTACATTTCAGCAATTTTCAAAAAAGTAATTAGTAATGTAATTTAATTACAAAATATGAGTAATTTGGCCAGCTCTGCGGATGTCTCAGATAGCGGGCAGGCTTTTTAAATCGACCTAAGAAATCGGTTTCTTAACCTATGGCGCTACTATTTTGTGCAGCGTTGCCCACAGGTGGTGCATCTTTTCTATAAAATTTGCAAAGAGCGAACTTACCTGTGCAAAAAGTAAAGGAAAAAAAAGGCTGACCTCGTATGGAAACGCAGCGAAGCCACCGGTCTTCAAACCACACGGCACCGTTTGGCACAGGTAGACAAGGGATGGCGCAAGCGGTCACGACACCAACTGCCGCCAACGAACGTACTTACGGCGCCGAGAGACGGCGTAATTAGGAAGTTTTCGTAGATCATTTTGGCCGTCGCGCAAGGCCCTCCGCAAGCTGCTACGATACCCAGAGCTCTACAGTCAAGGCCATCGGCGCGCAGGCGCAGTAGCGGGTTCTTCTTTGCGGAGGGCTTAGCGGAGGGGGAAACGCGGTCTACGAAAACTCCCTATTAGCAAACGATTTTTTCGACTCAAACGCAGTGCGAGCTTTTTTGATGTCAGGTGCCATTGCATGATTTTATCGTCCTTACTAATAAAACACATTCAATGGACACATAATCGATTAAAACAATGTTGTGTCAAATTATTTTTATCTTGTTTTTTTGTTGTTCTTTTTGGTGGGGGGGTATTTGTGTTGTCGGCTTTGCAGTTCCTTGTTTTTAGCGCGTCTGTTTTTGGTTCTGCGAATGTCGCCGCCTGTGGAACGCGCGCCACTTTTGAGTCGAAACGATCGTTTGCTAATGACGCCGGCTCTCGGCGCCGTATGCTCGTTCGTTGGCGGCAGTTGGCGTGGTGACCGCTTGCGCCATCTCTTGTCTCCCTTGCGAAACGGCACCGTATTGTATGAAGACCGGTGGCTTCGCTGCGTTTCCATAGAAGTTAATCCTTTTACATTTTTTTTTAACTTTTTCCTCGGGTAATTTGGGGGATCGGTGGCCGAGTGGGCTAGCGCACACCAGCTCGGAGCACGTGGAGCGAAAGCTCGCGCTGCATAACCCAGAATCCTGGGCTCAATCCCCACCCCTGCCCGTTCCGATCTGGATGAGCATCGTACCGGCGTGCGGTCGTGTATCACTACTGCGTGATGCACGTTAAAGACCCAGGCTAGCGGTTGTACCGCACTGGCTAAATTGCTCATCTGCAGCTGAGACATTACACGCCCGATGAGGCAGACTATAACTTCCGGCTGTATAAATATACACACAACAATTTGCTTTGCAGGGAAGTTCGCTCATTCTAAATTTTATAGAAAAAATTCAGCACATGTGGGCAACGCTGCTCAATATCGTAGCGCGATAGGTAAAGAAACCGATTTTTGCGGGCGAGTTGAAGAGCCTGGACGCAATTTGGGGAGACACCCTGTAGATCATTCAGAAGAATTACGTCCATGCTACATTTATTCGCATACGTTTAGGATTTATATAACTCGGTATCACTTTAAAGACCGGGACCCCAGAAAGTATGGTTGATTATTTCTGCTCAGTTATGCAATCTGTGCGTGTACATTTTCTGATTGAGATTATCGTACACCCCGTTTCAGATTAACTCTGAGTACAAGCGACGCTAAAGTCCGATAGAGCCAATCAAGCTGCGCAAAAAGTACATCGTCACGGCGCTCGTCACCTTGGTGCACCGGACAAACCCATCACGGCAACAAAAACAAAAACAAAACAAAAAAAACACAGGATCACGGCGTATTTACAAAGTATATAGGCCAACTCAACTCTCCGACGTCACGCGACTGTGGCTGCGCTGCTGTCCGATCTGCGCTTGCGCGTATGCTTCCCCTCGCCGGAATCTGGTTTTTGAGCACGCGCAATGCCCCCACCCGGTGTGGGCAAACGCGGGCTTGTTTACAAGCAGTGAGTTGGTCGATACTAACGTAAAGAAACGTTCATGCATGTAGACCCACAGCGCAACTTGACAGGTAGCAATGGAACACTCGTAGGTGCTGTGTTACGGTGTTAGGTAGGTTTTAAGCAAAGGAAGAGATTTGCAGACTCTCGCTGGTAAAAGTTCCACTAGAGCTAAAAATACACATCTCAGTAACTTTTACGTAGAAAACTCTTACCGGATTTGATCTCTCCTTGAACCAGCAAGTTTGTGTGTGCGAATGCGGTGGAACGATCGGGCAATTTATATAGGAGAGTTTTACCAGCCTAAAATATTTCATGAAGCACAAAAAACTAATAAGAGAGCTTTAAACTCTGTGATGCAAAAGCGAACGACCTTTGATAAATAAAAAAAAAACTCTAAATAGCATACATACTCATTTGGGAGCCGAAAGAAGGATCCGGGTCATTGACTGCTGACGTGAATTTATCAAATAACCTTACACGCTTACGTTCGGAGGCCTGAGCACACTTCAGTCCTCGCTACACGTAGTCATCTTTACAGAGCGTCTGGAAAAAGACCTTTCGAAAGAACTATTTTGTTTGGTTGACGAAACGTTTTGTACTTTTTTATCTTGTTCGTTTTACAAACAACCTTTGCTTTCAGCTCCGATCTATTACCCGTGACACGTCAGTTTTTGCATTTACTAAAAGGGAAGAGTAAAATGTGAAACTTTGGCTGTTATCCAAGTTAAGACACGTATAACTACTAACAAAGAATAAAACGGTATGCAAACTGACGCCAGCACCACACTAGAAGCGTGGCATTAAGAATAAAAATAATAGAAATAATTATATTAACGGTTTATATACGAGATGCGGCCTTTGGATCTGTGGCGTAATGTACAAATGAAATTATAATTACCTAAGTGGCTATAACATATGCGAGCGCGCTAATGAATGGGCTAAGATTAACACACAAAAAAGAAAGAGTGAGAAGGGACTCGATATTTTCCACAAGAAATTGATATAAAATATCAAACAATATTTATAAGAGTAGCAATTGTTGTGTGCACTCTAACTTGCTCACAGACCAAGGGCTTGCAGCCTGTAGACTTGTGCTTGTTACTTGAAAAATATTATGAATTGCAATTACTACATAAACAAATTATTGTTACCAATTAATTTCCCCTAAAAGAAGTTATTACTTTAGTTCGTACGGTAGAAATTGCTTGCCCAGTGCTTTACCCATATATTTCTCAACAAATATTCAGTCTCTAATGTCCTGCGGCTTAATGTATTAATATACTACTTCCGATATCCCATCATTAAGTTTCTCGCGGTCATTGTTTGAAGAATGTATAAACAGATTAATATAGGTGTTGTGCTTGATCTTATCAGTTGTATACAGTGGTGAGAGAAGTTATTACCTTAGTTCGTACGGTAGAAAATGCTTGCTTAGTGCTTTACCCATATATTTCTCAACAAATATTCAGAGTTTCTAATGTCCTGCAGCTTAATGTATTAATATACTACTTCCAATATCCTATCATTAAGTTTCTTGCGGTCATTGTTTGACGAATGTATAAACAGATAAATATAGGTTCTGTGCTTGATGTTATCAGTTGCATTCAGTGGTGAGAAACAAGGAAGGAACGAC